CATGAACACTCATTTTAAAAAAGCCCCCAAAGAAAGTGGACTTGGCAATCACCAAATGGCTTGAACAAGAACGAAATTGACTTTATCTTTGCTAACAAAAAAGACTCTGTTTTAGACGTAACTGTATTAAATCAATTTTCAACCGAAAGTGACCATAGAATGGTTAGAGCGAAGGTAGTCTTGAACGTAAAGAAGGAACGAAGAAATATGGTAACAAGGACTAAAAATGTTACGTTCACTGCGATTACTAACACAAGGGCATACCAGGCAAACAAGGAAAAATAAAAAACTTACAGAAGGCACAAGGAACCTAATGCAAAAAAGAAGGAAAATGAAAGATAAGCGCACAGTGAACATCGCAGAGCTAAGAAATTTAAATAAAATCATTTCAAAAGCTGTTAGGAAAGACATAAGGGATTTTAACACTAAAGAAACGACTAATACCATAGAACAAAATAAAAGCCTTATATAAGTTCTAAAACGAAAGTTGAAGACAATAAACAGGAACATTTATAAGCTAAAAAATAGACAAGGACATGCTGTATATGAACAACAAGAAATTATTGAAGAGTACAATAGAAAATTATATCGTCGAGATGCTCACATTCCAGAGGTGAAAATCCCAGCCATACACAATCAAGGATCAGAGGAACTTCCAGATATAACCGAAAAGGAAATCGAATCAGCGTTGAAAGGTATGAAGAACAGCAAATCGCCCGGCGTAGATGACAATGTAAATGAAATGCTAAAATTAAGAGGAGAATGCGTCATAAAAGCTTTAAAAACCCTTTATAATGCCTGCCTCTTTGAAGGACTTACACCAGAAAAATGGAATAGTGCCATTACGACAATACTGCACAAAAAAGAAGATGTAACAGAAATTGGAAACTACAGACCTATCAGCTCGTTATCCCATTTATATATGCTCTTTAGGAGTGGCTTTGGAGCGAATGACCACCTACAAGTAATAAAATCCTTAATAGAGAAAATTACAGAATACAACAAGCCATTGATATTAATATTTGTAGACTTTGAGAAAGCGTTTGACTCAGTCCAGCATAGCTCCATGTTAAGAGCTCTTACAGAGAGCAGTATTGATCATATGTACACAATTTTTCTTCTGAATATATATATATATATATATATATATATATATATATATATATATATATATATATATATAATAGCACAAAAGCTGAGGTTAGAATGTATTATGGCAACACAAACACATTTCCCTTCGAGAGAGGTATTCTTCGAGAGAGTAGAGGCAAGGAGACACCATCTCTCCTAAGCTATTCACCGCTTTGTTGCAGAGTGCTATGAGAAATAATAATTGGGAGAATATTGGAGTCAACATAAATGGAGAGTTTCTGAACAACTTGCGATTTGCAGACGACATAGTCCTTATTGTATACCAGGTAGATCATGCCTGCCAGCTTCATCAAGACCTTCAGGGGTCGTGTACACGAGTTGGACTTAGAATTAATTTTTCCAAAACACAATATATGGCCAACCTTGTACTGGCGAAAAACATCTCAACTAACGGCACGCAAATTGAACAGGTATATAGTTATAAATATCTGGGCCACGAGATTAAATTAGGAAGAGATAATCAAACAACGGAGCATAACACGGGAATACGACCGTCATGGGCGGCTTAGGGAAAACTGAGAGAAGTCTTTAAATCAGATATTCCCATGTGCTTGAAAAGAAAGGTCTTTGATCAATGTGTACTCCCAGTTCTAACGTATGGAGCAGAAACATTGACCCTTACCAGAAAAGTAATCAATACAATACAAGTGGCACAGAGAGCGATGGAGAAGTCAATGCTGAATATATCCCTCAGAGACACAGTATCAAATACAATAATTAGAAGAAAAACTGGTGTTACTGATGCAGTTCAAAGGATGTCAGATGACATCAAGCGCATTCAGCACAACTGGATTCAGGGTGCTCAAGATAGAATGCCTTGGAAGTATTTACGAGAGGCCTAAGTCCAGTAGTGGACTCAAAACGGCTGATGATGACGAATAAATATGACTGACAGAAGTAATAGTGAACCGTATATCAAAAAGAAACGTCGCGATTTAACACCCGAAGAAAAAACTATGATCGGAAATATGTTTCAACGACTTCCACCCGGAGAACAAAATATGTAAGCGATGTAGTTGCACTATGTAGTAGTTTGACCGAAAAGTTTCCGAAGCTAGTATGTGCAGAGTAATTAGAACAGACGATGAAACAAACGATAATAATACTTTGAAGATTGAGACTGAATACAAAATACCTAGTCAACCTTGTTAATGCTATTCAGAATTACAATCCCTTTAATGCTATTGGTTACTTTTCAGAATTAATAACTTATGAAAAAATTTTGTTTAAAATCCTTTATAAAAGGTATATAAAAATGCCCCAAACGGGCTATCACAAACACATTGCAAAACGTTTTCGGATTAAACAATCCATCATCAGTGCAAACCTGAAAGTATATAACCACTTTAATTAAAAAGAACGTTAAATTAAAATGTTGACAAAGGTTAGAGCAAAATGTGGTTAATACTTACGGTTGTACATGCTAGTAGCCACCAAAATATATGGGTCAAAACCCTTTAAATGTTTGAAATTTGTAGTTGTTTTACATTATTAGTATTTATAATTTGTGATGTTTATTGTTGATTGAATGTTGATTGTTATAAATACTAATAATGTAAAACAACTACCAATTTAAAACATTTAAAGGGTTTTGACCCATATATTTTGGTGGCTACTAGCATGTACAACCGTAAGTATTAACCACATTTTGCTCTAACCTTTGTCAACATTTTAATTTAACGTTCTTTTAAATTAAAGTGGTTATATACTTTCAGGTTTGCACTGATGATGGATTGTTTAATCCGAAAACGTTTTGCAATGTGTTTGTGATAGCCCGTTTGGGGCATTTTTATAAAGGATTTTAAACGAAATTTTTTTGTGATATATGGTATACAGCCAGCTACAGGAACTTAGTTTCCTCATGGAATTTTATGAACAAATAATAAAATATTACCTTCAATAATGGAAATTATGGCCTACACTTTACTAATGTTAAAATAATAATATAAGTGTTGTTATGTTTTAACTTAGATAATGAAATGTCTCGGATGTGGTTGGATTTAGTTATAGGGAATACAGTTACCAAACGAATTGACTTAAAAATAAAGCGAAAAACGTAATAGAATACATGATTTTTTATTTAAAGTAAGCAATTTACAAATTATTTAAATTGTGTATGTTGGCGGCTCAGTTTAAAACACCCTGTATGGCATATCGATGACTCGGACATATGAAGTTTACGAGGAAGCGCTTGTTGTTTATATTGGTTACAATTTTACATCACTAGCCTCGTTATTAATGGAGATATGGTTATTTAATCTGGACTACAATTTTTTCAAAATTAGAAGAAAAAAGTATCGAAATATCTCAAAAATACTTAATCTTTGGTATAGAACGTTGTGCACAAATTTTATCTAAAATTTAATGTAGAATTCGAAAATAAAATAAAAAATATTAGGTTCTAGTTAAAATAACAAAGTTGACGTCTATTTCCGGTATAACCGGAAGTGCCACATTCAGGACATTATAATTTCAATACAGCGTTATCTAAAACCTCATCATCATCATCATGCAGCCTTTATTTATCACGCCCACTGCTGGACATAGGCTTCTGTTCAATCACAAATTTGTATGCATTGCAATATGATGCAATGTCTCATTATTCTCAACTTCTTAATCTTTTATAGTTTCACCGTGTATAAGTGAGCCATTGTAAAACCATATCGTATATTTTTTTAATAATTAGTTCATTTACCTACAACTAAATAAATTGCCGAATAATATTTTTTCTAATTGAACTTCCTAAGTGTCTAGATTTGGTTAAATATACGGCCTAGATTAAATTGTAATATAAGCTAATAGTTCAAAGTTTGTTGGTATGGTATGATAGAAGCAATAACCTCTGTGCTGAGGTATGAATTATTTGTGAGATTATAAATTGGGGATTTGAGCTCATGTGAGCACAGTTTATTATAAGTAGTAACCTAAGCAACATCATATTGTGTAATTACTAGTAGCTGTCAATAAAATCAATATTTTTCTGCATAACTTCAACCTTTTATTATTTTTATCATCGTCGATCGACAAGAAGCGGACACAGGGCATTATAAAACTATTCGAACCTCATAACTACTTTCGAATCTTTCCATGTGATCCTTCGACAAAACATCATCAAAAGGGCGTTAATTGGATTGGAGCTTCGAAGGAGACGATCCTTAGCGACCTAAATAGCTGTTTCCCAGTTCCGTATAAGATCGACGATCGAATCGAAGTGTGGAAAAAAGAAAAAAGAAATAAAAAAGACTAGAAAGCACCAAAATTAGGGGTAGGAGTTTTACGAGAGCCCTTGATCACCGGAGAACCTGAATAGTCCTTCAGTCTACTGTTCCAGCAGTTTGGAGGTCCAGTTTACAGCAGAAAAATCTAGCAGCATCCAGAGATCCAGTTCACCAGTTCCAGTTCTAAGAAGGAAGCAGGATACACAAATTCAAATTTAATAATACTTAATTGAAATATTTTTATTCTGCATACCTTTTACTTAAAATAGTAATAGTTAACATAACTGTATCGACGACTCAAAAAATGGTGCAGAAAATCCACAAAGTGGTACTAAATGATCGTCGTCTGAAAGTGCGCTAGCTAGCTGACTTTCTCGACATTTAAAAATGTGCTATACATCGCTTATTGTTTTAAATTTTGGACCTAAGAAAACTGTATTTAAGATGGTTGCAGCTGAGCTGTTTACTAACCGTAGATGAAACATGGGTCCATCACTTCGCATCTAAGACAAAATATTAATCAAAACACTGAACTCAAACTGGAGAACAAGCATCAATCATAACGCAAAACCTGGATCAAAATGTTTTAGTCCCTCCTAATGCACAAATTAATTAAGACTTTGTACTTACATGAGAGGAATGGTGATTATGGCTTCGGAATCGATTGAAACTATCATTTAGTCCTGGCTTGTAGTGCGTATTGCCTAAATCTAGGCATACAGTGCTTGTACTCCAGAGAGACATTTGATAAGGGAATCCTGAAAATAAAATTAAAATTAGAAAATTCTAGAAAAATATTTCTAAAATATACAACCAAAAAAAAGGAAAACGTCTCTGCATATACATTACTTTTTTTTCGTAAGAGGCCAAAAAAATATTCACCATAGATAGGTTTTGAAATATTTGAAAATATTTTAAAATATACTGGGCCACCCATATTGATAGGGTGGATTATTAAATAACTTTCCGGAAGAGGCTGCTATAAAAACCCAGTCTGACCGCACGGCGATCGAGTTTGTTCCGGAAGGTCACTACCCGCTTCGAGAATAACGACTGTTTAGTATAAATATATATATATATATATATATATATAAATATTGTAAAAAAAATATGTAAATAGTCAGTGAAGAAAAGAAACTCGCGGAACGTGGTTTAAAATGTACGAACGTGATAAATGATTGTAAAGTAATTTAATAAATTGGTAATAAATTATTGTGAGTTTTAATAAATTAGAATAAAGACAGTAAATTAGAATAAAGACAATAAATTAGGACTAATAAAAACATTATAGTGGTGTTAGAAGTGAATCGTGAAAATGGCTACAATTTATGAGCTCACAGTTACGGATTTAAAAAGACATCTTGAAAACAGAGAATTAGCTTCTACCGGAAAAAAGGCTGATTTAATCCAACGACTAAAGAACGCATTAAAAGAAGAGGGTTTAGATCCGGAAACATATATTTGAAGACAAGTATATTGCTGTTGTCATCTCGTCGATTACGAAATTAGAAAACAAAGTTTCCGGCGACATCGCTTCTTTAGAAAGCAAAGTTTCTAACGAGATTTCTTCTCTGGAAAGCAAAGTTTCTGCTAACATCTCTAAAGTCACCTCTGAGATGTCTGCCCTCGACGATAAAATGTCTTCATTAAAAACCCAAGTTGCTGCCGATATGTTGGCCTTCGAAGAAAAGATGAAAGAGATGGAAAGGAAGATGGAGGGAACAGGAATGGCAGAGAGAGGAAACAATCCAATTACAGTAGAGACAAAAGGAGACGAGGTGAAATGTAAGTTGGAAACAGCCGAAATATGAAGGAAGTGGAGTTTCTGTTCACGTCCAAAGTCCCAACTTTCGACGGAAAATTATCATGGAACAACTACTAACTAAATAGTGGAAGTGTATACTAAACCAATCGAATTTTGGGTAGTATATATTTAAAAAATATATTTTAGTTGTTATAATTTAACATAACTATTTATTATATGGTGCAGATAAATAAATATTGATTGTCGGTAATTCGCAAGTTCTATTTGATTTACTATTTAGTTTGTTTACTATTAATATTGGCTATAAGTACGTGTGCTTGGTTTTATAGTAATTTCCAGCCACTTCTAGGTCTGTCAAAAAGTAACTAACTTCGCAAAGAAATAATTACTAAATTCACTAGACAGTTCGGACTGGGAATAGCGAACCGAGTATAGGACTGTTAAAGAGGAAGGAGATGAAGATAAACTTGACCAGCTCGTTAATATGATAAAAAGCATGACATACAAGAAACCGAAGACCATAAGATGCTGGAATTGTCGCGAAATAGGACACGTACGAAGTTCTTGTAAGCATCCTAGTTACGACGCAAATCAAGAAACTCACCATCAGAAAAACTAGAACGGGTCGGCCTTAGGGGGGCAGCTTCGACCCAGACTCTCATACTAATAGCTTCTTTGAAATGTCGTGAAGATAGTGTATATATAGATGGAGAAATAAATGGTAAAAAGCATACGTTGTTGGTGGATACGGGAGCGACCAGAAGCATTATTCGCCCGACAGTTATAAACAGCCGTAAGAAACTGTTACCAACGAGGTTGCGACTGCGGACCGCTACAGGTGAAAATGCCAACATTCATGGAGAAATCCAGGTACAATTAGGAATTGGAGCAGAAAAATTTGTCCATACTGTTATAGTCGCTGACATCGAAGAGGATGTTATATTAGGAATGGACGTAATGAATACGCATGGATTCCAATTGGATTTTAAGAATAAAGTAATCAAAGTTGGTAACGAGGAGGTATTTCTCCATCCACATGATGACAACACTATGCAAGCAGCCGTTAAAGAAGATACCGTAGTGCCTACGAGAAGTGAAACGATCATAGTAGCGCGGCTACAGGGAATTGTGGACGAAAGGACACCTGTTATGATGGAGCCTTGGAACCATGACGACGAAGTTGGCCGTGGAATCATAATTGGAAAGGAATTGGTGACTTCGGCTAAAGAAATTCCTGTTAGACTTCATCAATGTCAATGACTACCCAGTGATCATCAAGAAAGAGACAAAAGTAGGAACTTGTGTACCTGTGACATCCATCATCCGTTAGACGACAACGTCTGATAATTCCAACGACAAATTTGACCAAATGGTTGCAGTTGCTGGACAGTCTCTGAATCAGATTGAGAAAAGGAAATTAAGGGAATTTCTTCGGCAGTATCGTGATATTTTCGTACCGAAAGGAGGAAAGACGGGAAGAACTACCGTTGTTAAGCATAAAATTGATACTGGTAATGCTAAGCCAATTCGTCAAACAGCTCGACGATTACCACAGGCGAAAAGAGAGGAAGCTGAAACGATTGTTCAGGAAATGAAGAACCAAGAAAGATAGTTATCCTCTGCCTCGGATCGATGACACATTGGACACATTGGCTGGAAGTAAATTATTTTCTACTTTGGATTTGAAGTCTGGATACTGGCAGGTAGAAATGGACCCGGTAGATAAAGAAAAGACAGCCTTCACCACAGGATCAGGATTATGGCAATTCAACGTTATGCCATTTGGACTCTGTAATGCTCCTACGACATTTGAAAGGCTTATGGAAAATGTGTTGAGAGGGTTATCTTGGAAAACTTGCCTAGTTTATCTAGATGACATAATCGTCTTGGGGGAGACATTTGAAGATCATTCGAGGAATTTAGAAAACGTTTTTAATCGACTTAAAGCTGCCCAATTGATGTTAAACCCCAAGAAATGCCAGCTATTTCAAGGTAAAGTCAATTATGTGGGTCATATAGTCAGTAAAGGAGGAGTGGCCGTAGATAAAGGAAAAATCGATTTCATTAAGGAATGGCCAAAACCAACTGACAAACATCAAGTGAGAAGTTTTCTTGAACTATGTACTTATTACCGGAGGTTTATTAAGAAGTTTGCAGATATCGTTAAACCATTAACGCGACTTACAGAGGAAGCAAGAGAATACCGCTGGGATGTAGACTGCCAAAATGCCTTTGAGACCTTAAAAAAGCGTTTAATCACAGCACCAATTTTAAGGTATCCACTGCCAGAAGGAGAGTTCATCTTAGATACAGATGCAAGTAATGTGGGAATTGGAGGAGTGGAGGACAGGAGGACAGGAAAGAGTCCTTGGATATTTTAGTAAAGTTCTCTCAAAACCTGAGCGGAATTATTGCGTCACGAGAAGAGAACTTCTGGCAGTAGTGAAATCAGTAGAGCACTTCTATCAATACCTCTATTGAAGGAAGTTTTTAATCCGAACTGACCATGCCGCCCTTAAGTGGTTGATGCAGTTTAAGAATCCAGAGGGTCAGATAGCCACGTGGATCGAACGACTCCAAGAATATGATTTTAAGATTGAGCACCGGGCCGGAGTTAGCCACCGAAACGCTGATTCTCTTTCCAAAAGGCCATGCCCATCAGAGTGTTCCCACTGCAACAAAACGGAAACCAAGGAAGCAGCAGTGCTAAGAACGACGGTGGTCAACGACGACTGGACGCCTACCAAGATCAGGGAAGAATAAGAGAGAGATCCAGTTATACAGAAAATCCGAAAATGGAAAGAGGAAAACCGTCGACCACCTTGGCAAGAAATATCGAACCTAGGCTCAGTCTGACCGCACGGCGATCGAGTTTGTTCCGGAAGGTCACTACCCGCTTCGGGAATAACGACTGTTTAGTATAAATATATATAAATTTTATGTAAATAGTCAGTGAAGAAAAGAAACTCGCGGAACGTGGTTTAAAATGTACGAACGTGATAAATGATTGTAAAGTAATTTAATAAATTGGTAATAAATTATTGTGAGTTTTAATAAATTAGAATAAAGACAGTAAATTAGAATAAAGACAATAAATTAGGACTAATAAAAACATTATAATAGCTTCCAATAATTATGTATTGACGTCGACGGAAGCCATTTTAAACGTTTATTATAAATTTAACGATTTTATTGTTATTTTTACTAAGTAAATACATTGTTTCAAGTTTAGTTTTATTTGTAATTTAAACGTCACTTCACTTTATGTTGATTTGTTATTGAGTATAAAATTTAGAGTTTGTATAATGATTCTGATGCGCATACCTATATACAATCTTCACAGTCTAATTGTCAAATTCTTAGCTAATGTGGGTTTTGTTCTGCGGTTCCTAAGTGGTGGTCCGCGGCACCCTGGAGTTCCGTAGAAGGGGCGCAGGGATTCCGCGTCCGTTCTACAGTTAAATAAAAAATTCGTAGAAAATACTCATAACTACATCTAATTACGACTTTTCACTTAAACCACGGTATAGTGCAACGCAAACATCTTAAACCATGTGGTTGAGTGGTTTAAGAAGTGCCAGCGCTGCGGCACGTGAGCGCTCTTATGTTGCGGTGCAAGAAGTAGATAAAACCAGTATGGCTGCTTTACAGAGATATGTTAAAACAGATAATGAAAACAACACAAGCATCATTCCTGTTAAGTTACAGTATTGCTCGTGCTATTAAACCACACACGATTGCAGAGAATTTAATCAAACCATGTATTACGAGAATTCGTCCGTTGCGTACTCGGAGAGAATGCATCACAAAAAGTTGCAGCAGTTCAGTGTTTCAATAACATCATATCTGATCGAATTCATAAGATTTCAGACTACATTAAAGATGAATCTGTAGGTTGAAAGACAGTGAGATGTTGCTTTACAACTTGACGAAAGTACATATGTCGCCGGGTTATCAATAGGTTTGTTTCTGTAGTAGTTGTAAACGGTTTTA